CCTATAAAAAGAATTCTCTTAGTTTCAAAAAGTGGCAGAGGGGTGAGATTACAAAATCCAGTAGGTCTATTGTTATAAATAAAAGTATCAGCTTTCCTTTGGTGAAGCTGAGTCTCTTTTCCTTGGCTTAATCACATGGGTCACCACCGGAATGACCCTTTTTCACACGTTCTCCACCATTTAACAATAACCTGCACACAAGGCAAGGCATGGTTTTAGAATGTTCTTGGCCTGGCCAGAAGCGCTCCTCTCCCCACTGAGGTTTTCCCAGGGCCCGCCCTCTCTGCAAGGCAGCTAAAACGTTAGCAGCTGGCTCGTGTGATTCGTAAGCTCTGCTGCACGTTCGCTGCTTTTCAGTTCTCCGTGTAATGTGGTCACCCACTAACGCGTCCCCCCTCCCACAACCCAAATGCAAAGACAAAGTGAAATGACAGAAGAAGCTAAGACCAGCTGATACACGGTCTCCAAATCTGATACGTTAGGGTGTCATGGGTAGCAATGCCAGAGAAAATATATATACAATTTAATATATAATAATGTGATTCAAATTTTGGACAAACGAGTCTTTCTTTTTTTTTTTTAGTATAAATATAAGTATGTCCCATGCAATATTTGGGACATACTTATACTAAAATATTATTCATCTTTTACCTGAAATTCAAATTTAACTGGGCAGCCTGTATTTTTATTTGCTAAATCTGGCCACCCTATTCAAGGGATTGTCTCTGATAAACATGACTAGAATTTTTATAGTCTCTGTACTTCAAATAAAGAGTATTAAGCTGGTTGATGCTGGCAGGATGCCACTTGGGGGACCTCTTTGGGAAGTGAGGAGAGGTGTGGGCAGGGAGAGAAGAAAAGGCTAATGGTCTTCTGATTGTGACTCTAGCTGAGTAAGGAGAGAATACGTGGCAACATGAAGTGGGCATCTCTCTCTGGTTGCTTCCATATAATTATTCCTTTAATACTTATTGCATGCCACACACTGTGACCAGTGGGAGCTAGGAATACAAGGATGGCCAAAGTATAAGCGTTCTTACCTTCACAGAGCTCACAGTCTAGCAAGGGAGACACACATTCAGCAAATAATTATGCAGAGCCCTGGTGGTGCAATGTTTAAGCACTCAGCTGCCAACCAAAAGGTTGGCGGTTCAAAAGCACGCCATGGCTCCATGAGATAAAGACCTGGTGATCTGCTTCCATTAGGATTACAGCCTAGAAAACCTTGTGGGCCAGTTCTACTCTATCACATGGGGCCGCTATGAGTCGGAATCCACTCGACAGCACCTAACAGCAACAGTAGAGTTATTATATTATTATAAATATAATACAGATATACCCTTGTAATATGGTGACACTCTAGGATGGAATAGAACTGACCCATAGGGTTTCCAAGGAGAGGCTGGTGGAGTTGAACTGCCTAACTTTTGGTTAGCAGTCGAGCTCTTAACCACTGTACCACCAGGGCTCCAAACTCTGTTAGGACACGTGAGATCCTAGCACGTAGTACACATCATGGCTCATAGAGAGCACTCAGTGCATTTTTGTGGGGAGGGAGGGTGAATAGATGAATAAATATTACTGTCTTTTTCATGTGTTCTGGAAAAAAAAAAAAAAGGCAAGCAACTTGGCAGGGGGTATTAACCCTTTAGGCAGTCCCCTTTAATTTAATTACCATGTAGAGCTAAAACAGCACCAGGTGCCAAGACCATCTGGGACATACGTGACACAGAACTTGATGAACAACACCTACTCCTCACTTCCTGACCATCTCATTATCCGACACTTCGCATTCATCACAACAGTAAAAACTACTATCCTACTATTCTGTGTGTTAACGACATATGTCTGGCAGTAATGAACGCCAAGGTGCAAGGCGAGAGTAATGCTGCCTTTGATGGTTAAGGCCATGATTCTCAGAGGTTTGGCAGTTGTGTAATGATGTAATCATCCTTCATTTTGTTATCTGATGTGGTCATTCTCCATTTCCGCATCATGACCTGGTCTTTGGAATCTAACTAACCATGGTGATAAGTGAGGATTGAGCAGAGGCCATTTGGACTTCACTGTCTATAAAATGCAGGAATTATTTTAAATTCCAGCACTGTGCAGTTTTGTGCTCTCTTAAATGAAACTATGATTCTTCTTTAATTTTCAATTATCCCAAAAGTCATTTCTGTACTTTGGCCCTTTAACTCCTGATTCGAACTCAGAGTCTGCTCAGTAAATGAGTCCTGCTTAGTAGCAACAAAGTTAGTACAGAAGATACTGTGTCTTACTAAATTTCATGCTATTTGCAAACACCCTTCGGAGAGGCAAAGTGCTGCGGTGGAAAGCACGCTCGATAGGAGCCACAAATCTAGACTGGAGTTAGGTTGTGCCACTCAGTGTTGGGCAGATCACGGGCCTCGAGCTCTCCGTTTGTGGAATTGCGAGCGCGGCTCTTTCCAGCATCAGAAATAGTATGAAACTTCCTGAACTTGTCCACACCCCGTTTTTACTGCCAGCCCCCCCCCTCTTTTAGTAAGAAAATGTAGTCAAATAGCTGACATCCCTGGGAATTTCCAGGGACTGAGTCACAGGTCCCTGGAGCAAAAACGGTAAAACAAAGATGTTTAAGGCAAGGAGGTTAGGTCAGAGAAACCTAGTGTTAAATTTTTTAGTGCCAATCTTTACTCAGGTCAAGACAAATTTCGACTATAATTCTCCCAACGCTTCCTTTATTCCATGACTCAGGAGGTGGCAGAGCGAGGAATTAACAGCCTGGTCACTACAAGAAGTCGGATGTCCCGGATTTGGATCTTAGCCACTGAGGGGGGCGGAGGGAGGGAGAGGAGAGCGAGCGAGAGAATAGGGACTGGATGACTTGCATGAATAGCATTTAAAGAAGTGCTAATTGTAGGGTGTAGGGGCTGGATCTAAAAGTGAAGATAGGGGGTGATGCTCTTCCAATTCAAACGCCTTCCCTGAGTTCCAGGCTAGCTGTCTTACACAGTGAAACCTGCGAAAGCCAGAACCTGTGTAAGGCGGAAACCTGTCAGAGAAGGAGAATTCAAATATTTTCCGCTAAAACCAGCGATTGAAAAGTGGTAAAACTTTTGAGACCTGTCAAAGGTGGAAAACTTTTGAGACCCGGAAAAACAAGGCAGTCCTGTCGAGTTCCGGCTCTCACAGGTTCTGTAGTATTTACTTTGAGCCTGCATCAGTGATCTCCAAAATGGAATGCAGGAAGAAAAGTTCAGAATTTCTGTTTTAAATTACATTTATTTCAACCCTTCTTTAATTCTAATTTAGATAATCAGTACATGCTTATAACACATACATAAACAAACGCATGTATTGAGGTGAAAGTTCAAAATGTTTTTAATGATGCGGACGCAATCAAAACCATCTGGAGACCAATGGCCTCGATAAGAATGTCATCTTCGTCAAGCAGATACATGAGACTAAATGGGCAGCTCCTGTCCCGAGGTGAGATGAGAAGGTAGAGGGGGTCAGGAGCTGGTTGGATGGACACGGGAAATCCGGGGTGGAGAGGAGGAGTGTGCTGTCACAGTATAGGGAGAGCAATAAGGGTCACATAACAATGTGTGTATAAATTTTTGTATGAGAGACTAACTTGAATTGTAAACTTGCACTTAAAGCACAACAATAAAAACAAGAATGCCATCTTCTAACAGCGAAGTGTCTTTTAACATCCCCTTCATCGCTAACTATTTACATGAACATAATTAAAAAAATGGTTTTATATTTTTTCCAAAAGGAAAATATCTTGACTTTTTTCTTTCAAGATTTTAACACATCCATGTTCATAGTAGAATGTTTGGAAAATGCAGAAAATTACAAAGAAGACAATTAACATAACCACAGCCTGTGTTTATTTTACAAAAGACATCTTTTAGTTTTGAATTCTTGAGATCATTTTGAATTTTTTTCCCCTTCTTTTAATTATTAACTCTACAGGGTGCTGAAAAGTCACCCCCTACTGCGGCTGACCCCACGTCAGACAAAGCCAACTTCATACCCCAGGAGACCCAAGGGGCAGCCAAGAATCCTAAAGGCTCCAACCCCCCGGGACACGTGCCGTCGGCAGCTTCCCCTGAGATGGCAAAGGAAGGTACCAAGGAGAAAGCGGGGCCTACCTCTCTGCCTCTGGGCAAACTGTTCTGGAAAAAGGTGAGCCTTATTTTCAAGACTCTCCAAGATGTGCAGAGTCCTTTTGAGCTGGGATGACTTGAGAGATTGTTACTGTTGGGTCAATCGATGTATTCAGCCATGCATGGAGTTTCTTTATCTTCTCCAAAAATGATTCAACTTGCCATTAGGTTGAAGACTTCTGATTTACTCCCAGGAAGAATGAAATGCCTGTCACGTTGAGCCCATGGGTTTCATGTGAAAGAAAAGGAAATGGACAAGTAGAATTTTTCACTCTTAGAATGATTCCGGTTCATGACACGGGGTTGTGGTGTATCATGATTTCGGTTTTTTTCTAAAATGGTTTATCACTTATAGCTTCCTCCGGGTTTCCTCTGAGAGCTCTTGGCCTGGTAAGATGCACCACCTCTGGGTTTTTTTTATCCAGGCTTCCAACCAGTTCATTCCAGTTTGAACCCCTGCTAAGAATTTGCATTTCCACCCCAGATATACTGAATCAGAATCTACATTTTAACTAATACCTGAGTGATTCTTATGTATAATAATTTCTGAGACCGACTGCTTTACTAGTGGTTCTCAGAATCGGTCCCTGACCAGCAGCATTAGCATCACCTGGGAACTTGTTAGAAATATGCGTTCTCAGCAGAGGTTTGAATCAGAAGGAACCAGTTGGAAGCCCTGCTTTATCTTCTCTGTTCCCCAGACAGACATAATGAGTCATTAGGAACCACTAGGTCTCGCTTTCCTTTGGAAAGCCAGGGAGGGTGTCCAGCAGTTCTCCAGCAGGTCACCACCAGGGTGACTACGTATTGTGCTTGGCTATAGGAAACTGCTAACCACTGATTTTTTTTTTTTTTTTTTCCTCTAGCATTAAAGTGTCCGGGGTGTGTGTTGTACAGGGAAGTGGGGGAGAGGGGTCGAGTGATTCTGAGAGCTATTGCTTCATCACCGTTGCTGAGTAAACCACAGCTGCCACACATGTTCCAAACTTATGCCTGTTTTATATTTGGCCAAAAGACAAGCAAGAAGTGTGTGTGGCGGGTGGGGGGGTGAATTCATAGAGCTGAAAAATCCACCCCAGTAATTTCATCCAAACATCTATATGCCTCTTAACACAAGGAAGGCGGGAGACAAATACAAGTTGCACTGTGGTGTTAGTTATATTTTCTTGGCCAGAATCCAGGTGGATTCCTGCACCCCTTCCCTGCTTGTCTCCTGTTGTTCGGGAATCTTCCTTCTAGGTTCTGCCCAGAACGCAAACTCCACTATTTAATGAAAACCTGGATTGGTGTCAGTTGGCATTCTGTTCTGATCTCCTTCCTCAACAACCACCAGTTATTTATTTTTTTAAATCTTTTACCAACAATATAATGTAGGGAAGTGTTTCTGAGCGAGTTACGTGTGCGTATCGGTGGCAAGGGAGGTGACTTAGGCGACCATATTTGAACACCAAAAGTGCCGACGAGCGGTGTTGTTACCTGTGCAATTTATTTCTGCTGTGCTCGGGAGGTGGAGGCACTGACCAGGTCAGCTTCATTGTCTTTTGTTCTGTCCAGTTTTGGAAGCCCCTGAGTGATTGCCTCCAGGGCTTTCTCTTTCCTTGTCCTGGGGATTTATAAGGGATGCATTGGTTCCTTGACGTTCAAGCTGTCCCCATTGAAAATAAAAGTAAGGACCACTTGACATTCATCTCTCTAATGGCAGAATCCATTTATTTCAGTCCCACTGTTTTTTTTTTTGAGTCATTATCCAGATTTATTTCTTTAGTAGATTGTAAAAAATGATAAACACCAAATCACCTGTAAATCTTGTCTTTCCTTCTTTCACCCAATCAGAAAAAAATAGCTCCACATGAAAGTAAAATAGGGACGATCCACTTGTTCAGCCATGTTTTTAATCACTTTCTTTGTGCTGAGTTCTATATGATAAATCATTTGTGCTGAAGTGTCCCAGGCCTGGCAGAGACGGCTGGGAACCAGATCCTGCACACCCATAGGGACATTCTTGTGGGGGAGCTTATGTTCAAGTAGAACACAAAATGAGGACCTTTGTCTGCTTTTCCTTGAAGTGGAATGAATTCTAGCTATAAAAATCGTTCTTGAAAAAATTTTTAAAAACGGGAGGGAAAGCTAGGAAATTCTTATGTTTTCATGGATAACTAACCCTGCACACTCTTTCTTTTAATTGAGAAGCTTTTAAGTAGGCTGGCTTCTGAGTCTAAAAGTCTGCAATTAAGAACATCAGAAATGGATTTTTTCCCACAGCAGGCTTTGAATATGAAACTATAAGTCATTTGAATGCATAGTCTTGATTACTGAAGTAATTCTTATTATACAAAAACAACAACAATAACCTTTGAAGAAATCAACTTCCGGTTGCAGTGTACTTTCCAAAAAATGGTTAAAACCCAACGTTACTGAATTGAACATGCCTTTTACGGTTCTGGGTTAAATGGGCTGCCGCGTGCTCTGTGACCTTGCAAAATTTACTTGCTCTGTTTGAGTTTCTCATTCCTCATTTGTTGAATGAAAGGGTTGGAATAGATGATCATGAAAAACCTTGTGTAGAGCAAGTCTTGCATCACAGCCAGAGTCAGAAAGATGAGGCTGTGTAACATTGGACACCCTTGGAGCCCCTGTTTTCTTATCTGTAACAGAATATTGAATATAGCACAGACTGCCAGAAAAATGAACAAATTTGTCTTGGAAGAAGTCCAGCCAGAATGCTCCTTAGAAGCAAGATGGCAAGACTTTGTCTTACTTACTTTGGACGTGTTATCAAGAGGGACCAGTCCCTGGAGAAGGACGTCATGCTTGGTAAAGTAGAAGGTCAGCGAAAAAGAGGAAGACCCTCAACGAGATGGATGGGCACAGTGGCAGCACCAGTGGACACAAACATAGTCACGATTGTGAGGATGGCGCAGGACCAGGCTGTACTTTGTTCTGTTGTATACAGGGTCGCTATGAGTCAGAACCAACTCGATGGCACCTAAAACATAGGGAAGACGTTTTTATCTTACAGTGTTGTTATAAGGATGAAATAATTGTACATAGAGAGCACCTGAGACCCAGTGAGTGCTCAATGAATGGTGTCCTCATAATATCTACAAGTATGAACAATGGCTGGTCATGATCTCAATGCCCAAGTGTGGCTTCTGGTGCCGATACCACCCGGGCACAAACAAATAGGAGACCCCTTTGCTATCATCAAAAGACTTGAAATCCACTTGGAGGCACAAGACACGCACACATGTATGCGCACACACTCTCACATATGTGCAAGCAATTAGTAAATAAAGTATTTGGAATATCACCTCAAAATAGCCCTTTTCCTGCTTTCCTTTGGAGGAGTCAAATGGTGGGAGTAGAAAAATGATGTGAGCTCTGAAGCCAAAGAGACACATAATCAAATCTCAGCTCTGATAGTCACTAGCTGTTTGAATTTGCATGGATCACTTAAACCCTCTGAGCATCCGTTTCTTCAGCTATAAAACTGGCCACTGATACCTTCCTCCCATGCTTATTGGGAGGACTGAGTAAGAAAACAAACGGAAGGTGACTGGCATTCAGTGAGTGAGCGTCCCATTCCAAAACAATGAAGTTTGTGATCCAGTATTCATTTACGGAAGATCCACAAGCACCATAAATAGTTTACACTGAACTGCAAACCTAAAGGTTGGTGGTGTGAACCCACCCAGTGGTGGAAGAAAAGGCCTGGCAATCTGCTTCCATTAAAATTATAGCCAAGAAAGAGCCCTGGTGGTGTAAACGGTTAAGCACTCATCTGCTAACCTAAAGGTTGGCCGTTGGAACCCACCCAGTGACTCCTTGGAGCAAGGTCTGGTAATCTGCTTCTGTAAAGATTACAGCCGAGAAAACCCTATGGGGCAGTTCTACTCTGTCACGCAGGGTCACTATGAATCAGAATGGACTCACCAAACAACAAGAAAAAATTTCCAATCATGGGACAGACCGTTTGAAATCAAAGTGAAAATTATTGTAAAAGCTCACAGCCAAGAAAACCCTTAAGGGGAGTTCTACTCTGTAATACATGGGGTCACCATAGGTTGGAATCGCCTTGACAGCAACCAACAACAGCATTAATTTATGGGCTGCAGGTGACAAATACTATGGGTGTTGAGAAAAGGGAGCAAGCAGCGTAGGTCCAAATAGACAAACAGTATGTTAACTTTCTTCTGAATCATCTGGAGTGTTTATTTAAAAGACAGATTTGTATGCCCTCTCTCCCACTGGGATTCTGGTTAAGAAGGTCTGGGCCATTATGAAAACACTGAAAGATGGGCTGGAAAATCCGGGCTTGAGCAGAGAGGTCTTAGGGCTCCTGTGAAATTAAAGAGTGCAGGAGAGCTGTCACATGATCAAAACAAAGCTTCCGGAAGGCCTCCTGGCAACAGGCTGTCTGTTGCCTTAAGTGCTACCATGTGAGAGTAGGTTAAAGGAACTTTCTTTTAGGGATTGAACGCGCTCTTTAAAGGATATAACAAAAACCAAACCCATTGCTGTCAAGTCGGTTCCCACTTATAGCGACCCTATAAGACAGAGTAGAACTGCCCCATAGGGTTTCCAAGGAGCGGCTGGTGGATTCGAACTGCTGACCTTTTGGTTAGCAGCCGAGCTCTTAACCACTGTGCCACCTCTTTAAAGGAGAGGAGCCCTTTTATTCAAGTTCAGCAACTTGAATTTAGCTCCTTATGCTCAGCAACAAATGTGTCCAGACTGGCAGTGAGTTGAAGATAATGGTGACGGAATAATTTGGAAAAGGATAGTGAGAATAGCAGCACAACTGGAAGGATGTAATCGATGTCACTGAATTGTACATGGAGAAACTTTCAAAATAGTGCAAGTTTCGCTATCTATATTTTCACCAAAAAAAGGTCCTCAAGGTCGGGAAGGGAGAGTGTTGACATGTTGCGGGCTTGTTAACCAACGTCATAAAACAGTATGTGTACTGACTGTTTAATGAGAAACTATTTGTTCTGTAAACCTTCATCTAAAGGACAATAAAAAATTTAAAAAAAAAAAGTGTCCAAACTGGCTCCTTCAGATTAGAGACTGACTTGTTATTGTTGTTGATGAGGCAGGACTGTCTTCATACTCATCCGTTAATAACCAGATGCCCAGTTCATTGAAGAAGACAAAGTTAGTTCTGTTTTTTTCCTTGAATGAGAATCTCACACCCTCTGTTTCCTGATGAGCCCCACATATTATGTTCCTCTGACTGGGAATCTTGTTAACCTCATAAATGCCTCTTGGTCTACGGAAACTGAATTGCACTTTAAAATCACTCTTGTTCTCTCTCACTGAGGGCTACATTCCGTGTGTAGAAGAACCAAGTCATCTTTTCTCCTCTTTGAAGCAGGGCTTCGAACTGGTTTCAGTCAAGCTTGAACCCCTGCTGAGAATTTGCATTTCTAACACGTTCCCAGATGATGCTAATGCTGCTGGTTAGGGACCAGTTCTGAGAACCAGTAAGAGATCAAACCGAAACCAAACCCTTTGCAGTACTAGCAGATCAGTGGCTCTCAAAATTTATTATACATAAGAATGACCTGGGGATCTTGTTAAAATGTAGATTCTGATTCAGTATATCTGGGGCGGAAATACAAATTCTCATCAGGGGTTCGAACCGGAACACACTGGTTGGAAGCCCTGCTTTGAAGCTTATCCACCGTAACACACTCCTTATTGGCAGCAGAAAATAAGGAATTGAATTCTGTTTTTCCTGGTTCCTGAATTGATAGGCTTTCTGCTGTGTGGGAAACAGAGAAAAGGAAGAAGGTGCTTGAGGCTTTCATCTACAACCGTGTATTGAGCAGAGACACCGGGCACATTCCCGCCTTTCATGCGGGAGAGCCGAGTTTGACTCTCGGTCAATGTACCTCATGGTCTGCCACCACCTGTCTGTCACTGGAGGCTTGTGTGTTGCTATGCTGCTGAACAGGTTTCAGCAGAGCTCCCAGACTAAGACAGACTAGGAAGAAAGGCCTGGAAATCTACTTCCAAAAATCCTATGGATCACAACAGTCCGATCCACAACCAATCACGGGGATGGTGCAGGACTAGGCAGCATTGTGCATGGGGTCACCATGAATTGGGGGTCAACTCAATGGCAGCTAACAACAGCCACATCATCGGGCATGGAAACTTTGCGAAGTACAAATACAGACCAAATGCTTGACTCGAAGAACAGGCTCAATGAGGATGCTGTAATGCATCAGTCAGTTTTCAAGCAGAAAAGGGGCACACCTCCAACCCCCAAGGGAGGGATGATTTACAGTAGGAGCAAAAGTTCAATAGTTGTTGGAGCAGAACCCTAGAAATTAGGGACAGTCTGCTTCCATTTTGAACACTGACTTGGAATACCAATATAAAGCTTTTAACCCACAGCCAGACACAGTCCAATAATGTGGGTTGTCACAGTATTATTACCTTTTTAAGTATTAACCTTGTTAGTTCTGTAGAGTTGCATCCGGTGAGCGTCAACAAGGAGTGGTGCAAGCCCCAAAGATTATCTGTTAAAGGAACAAAACCACATTGCAAGAAGCTCTTTTCCGGAAGGCCTCTGGAACATGACCTTGGCCCTGTTGATTCAAATTTTTTATCAGTCACTTGGGCAATGACATAAGAAGCACACCTATCAAGTTTACACACTGGGTGGGTTCATCAATGCAGTCAAAAGGGTAAACGATAAAGATCTCAAAATACTGACACAGTGGACAAAAGTTAGTATGTTCCAGAATCTTTGTTTTTCAAAGGTCAACATGACACTGTACTATAAGACAACAGGTCATTAGGATTTTAACAGAGACCTACATCTCCCCTACCCCATTCTGCCTTTGGAACCTACTATAGCCTGGGGGTGTTGCTAAAAGTGTCTGTTTATAACGGGTTTGGGAGAAAATATATATTTGACCTGAGCAGACTTAAGGAAATTTCAAAAGCAACATGGAAGAGTTTAAGAAGGGACTTAAACAGGTTTACGACGAGTCTTAAATAGGTCTTAATACGATTAGTTTTTCACTCTTCTTCCCAGCGTTCATAAAAATTACTGTTGTTCATTGAACACTTACTATGTGCAGGCACTCTGCTAAATTCCTTACATATATAAAAAGTCAAAACCAAACCTGTTGCCTTCGAGTCGATTCCGACTCGTAGCAACCCTATAGGACGGAGTAGAACTGCCCCATAGGGTTTCCAAGGCTGTAATCTTTACAGAAGCAGACTGCCACATCTTTCTTCCGTAGAGCGGCTGGTGGGTTCAGACTGCCGACCTTTTGGTTAGCAGCCGAGTGCTTAACCACTGTGCCACCAGTGCTCCTTCACATAGCAGGTATCAGCAGATATCAAATATTCAGCAAGTTTCATAGCCTGATGGACATAAACGGAGTCCTTGGGTCATGCCGTTGGTTAACATGCTCAGCTATTAACCAAAAGGTTGACAGTTTAAGTCCACCCAGAGGCACCTTGGAAGAAAGGCCTGGTGATCTACTTCCAAAAAATCAGCCATTGAAAATCCTTTGAGGTGCTGTTCTACTCTGAAACATACGGGGTAGCCATGAGTCAGAATCATCTCGACAACAACTGGAGATAGAGGGAGAGGAAGAGACGGAGAGAGAGATTTATTTTAAGGAATTGGCTCAAGTGATTGTGGGACACTGGTGAGTCCAAAATCTGCGGTGAGGTGACAGGCTAGACACTCCTGCAGCCTAAACCCTGGTGGCGCAGTGGTTAAGAGCTACGGCTGCTAACCAAAAGGTCAGCAGTTCAAATCCACCGGGCACTCCTTGGAAACCATATGGGGCAGTTCTGCTCTGTCCTGTAGGGTCACTATGAGTCAGAATCGACTTGACGGCAATGGGCTTGGTTTTTTTTTTTTTTTGGTTGTGTCTCAAAACTCATAGATCAGGTGACAGAAAGAGTGAAGAGCAAAGGAGTTGGGGGGAAACGTCTATTTGTAGTCTGGAGACAGAATATGTCACATCCTAGGGAAAACTCCCTTTTTGCTCTTAAAGCTTTCAACTGATTAGCTGAGACCCACCCACATTATGGAGGAAAATCTGCCTTACTTAAGGGCACCTGATTTTATCCCATATAACTACTTCTTAACAGAATCTGGACTAGCGTTTCGCCAAACAACCAGGCCCCATAGCCTAGCCAAGTTGATGCATAAAATTAACCACCACAAGCTCTTAATCTGGAATCCAAGAGATGAGCTTCAGAGGGTCCGTGAGCACCCTCTGAAATCATCTGCAAAATATTTTGTTTATGTTCATTTTCCTGGGAGGAGAGCCACGTCTCTCAAAACAGTCTCAAAGCAGTCTGTAACCCACCGCTCCACTCCAAAAAAAAAAAAAAGTTTAAGAACCACTGAAGAAAAGACACAAAGATGAACTCGGAAGTTGGGACTTGGTCAGCTGGAGTGTTGATTGTGGCATTGACCTTTGATAGACTCGGGGCAGGACGGTAGATGCCAGAATTACTGTAGGGAGTAACATGTTTGAAGTTGGATGTGTTGGAGCCCAGCTCTTGGCCCTCCCTAGAAGCGTTTTAGCCAAACTGAACGCTGGCCTGATGAAATCGGCGCAGATTGAGGGCTGGGGTGAGAAACAGTCGTACGCTGGCCACTGTGCTGTGATCAGAACAAGGCTGACACTCCAAGGGCCTGCCGACTGTAGGGAGACGGTGGAATGAATTTCTCTAGTCTGTTACAGAATTTTCCCAAACGGCTCCTTTGTGTTTACCTAACAGCCCCGGTATACTGAGTGATTGATCATTATTTCCCTCTTTTCTTCAATGTCTGCAGAATGTATAGGCAAATGGAAGTCTTACCCACTGGCTTTGTGGTTTGTGCTTTCTGCAGTAACCCCTCTCCTGACTCCATTGCATTTGTATATTTATTTTCCCTTTGTTGCATTTAAAAAATACATAATTTAATTTATATTGTCTTGCTATACTGTTTACATTTCTGTAAGCCTCCTTCAAGTTCTGTTTGGAACAAAGTATACACATAAACAATTCAATGTCAGAGAATTGCACCAGGAGGAAATGCTAGCTCAAGGAACCCTTCACTTTTTTTGTAACATTTTCTTGTTTCTTTTTTGCAACATGCTGACTCTTGCTTTTGTTTTTTATCTTCCCTTTAGTCAATTAAAGAGGATTCAGTCCCCACAGGTTCAGAGGAGAATGTAAGTTATGTGTTAAATGACAGAATCATTCCATTCTCATCTTTGGCGTGTTGGGCGAGCGGTCTTTCCAGCTCAGGGGTCCCATGTATTTGCATGATCCAAGTGTTACCATGGTCCAAGTGTTATCCATCTGCTGTAGACTCTCTCATCCTTTCACGTGCTGAGGGATCACTGGAGAATGACACTGGATGAATATTTGTAACTCTCGTTGTTGTTGCTGTTTGGTGCCATTTAGTCTATTTCCAACTCATAGCAACCCCATGTGGCACAGTGAAACTGTTCCGTAGGGTTTCCTAGGCTGTAATCTTTACGGGAGTGGATCATCTGGTCTTTCTGTCTCGGAGCTGCTGGGTGGGTTTGAACCGCCAACCTGTTGGTTAGCAGCTGAGTGCTTAACCGTTGCACCACCACAGCTCTTTAACTCCCATTGGGTCCGTGGAAAATAAATGCAAAATCAGAGCATTTAATAATTTGTTATCATTGAGGGGCTGAAAGAGTCTATCGAATGTAAGAACAGCTTTGCACTTCTTATGAAACGATGCCACATCCTTTCCTCTGTTCTATCTTGATTGCTCTTTCATCTTTATTTCTATGGTGACCCAGACTCTCTACTAACTTTGGATGGTATCCAGGGCAGGCAGAGGCTTGAGGCAGGAGAACATCTGTTGGTCTCAGACTGGACAGCTGACAGTGATGGGTCTACATCTGGGATAGATAGGTTGAACCTCACTGTCTTTTTTGGTCTTTGATCTTCTAGAAAAGTGGTCTGAAATTTCAAGGAAAAATATCTATATCTGAAGGAGATGGCTTCATATGAAAATCCACAAAAACGTATCTTTCCAAAAACTCTTCCAGGGAGATTGAGAAATTGGTCTTGTGAGTTTCAGACCCAAAATGGCAACCCTCTGCCTTGAAGTGCAGTCTTTGGAAACATTTTTAAGTGGGAATAAGTGAATTCACAGCTCCTTGAGATTAGAAACTGATCGTTATCATTTTGCCAAAGCAAAATATGTTGTTGCTCTTTCTGAGTGTTTCACGTTGACTTGGTGATAAATGGGGCTTGTGTTTTCATTTTTATCCCTCTGAAGCTAAACAGATGTTGAAAATCTAAACATGTTCCAGAAATGTTGCCCATCCAGTGGAATGGAAATTAAAGCGGAGGTGCTGTGTTATGATCCTTTGTCGGAGAAAGATCTTTGAAATCTGCTTTTCTAAAATTGTTAATGTTGTTGTCTTTCTTTTTATTTTTTTGAGCAACTGCAGCACAAACCTAGGAGTTCAGCAAAGCGCAGATCCCTCTTAATTCCAGAACGTTCTCATGAATTTACTAGCTATTTTCTAGAGACTCAAAACCTCTAGTTATCTCACCAACCTGCAAAGGGGTACTGCATGAATCTCCCGCCCTGGCGTTTTTAATTAAAAAGTTACAGGTTAAATCCAGAGTGTCAGGTTTGAGTTTCTGAGTTCTTTGAAGAGAAACTTTTTTTTGGTTGTTAGGGCATAGTTGCTGTTCTGAAGACACCTGTGCCTCCTGTAGCTCCCATGCTAAAATACAGAGTGGATTTCTAACAGGCATACGGAAGGTGCTTCATTTCCAGTGTGAAATTTAAAACAGAAATAGAAGCACAAATTGAGAGTTAGAGATAACACAAAGCAGACAGGGCTATGGGAGACAGAAAAGTATTTTTTAAGGAAAATAAAGAAGCATTACAATGATTGCTTACCCCTACAAGTAATGCTGCCAAGTTTTGATATTTCATCTTCTAACAACTTACCATTTGGGTGGAATGAGGCTAAAAAGTGATCTCGGTCCCATCATCTCCAGCCTGTGCCACCACTTGAGCCTCAGTTTACTTATCTCTTAAATGGCAAAAATAATGTTACCTACCGCTTAGGGTTGTTGTGAGAATTCAAGGAGATAAGGTGTGTGATGTGCCTCGTTCAGTGCCTGAAGCATAGGAAGAACTGGTTCAGGAGCAGGCAACCCACAGCCCACAGCCACATCTGGCCCATTACCTGTTTTTGTATATCTTGTAAGCTCAGAATGGTTTTGACATTTTTAAATCCGTGGGGGAAAAAAAATCAAAAGAAGAATATTTCGTGACACATAAAAATGACATAAAATTCAAACATCAATGTCCATAAAGAAAGTTTTTTAGGACATAGCCACATACGACAATGTTACATATTGTCTCTGGCTGCTTTCCTGCTACAGTGACAGAGGTGGGTAGATGTAACAGAGACTCTATGATCAGCGGGGCCATTTGCAGGAAGAAGTTTGCTGACCTTATGTCATGGTTAGCGAGCAGGAGACAGAACATTATGAGCAAGTGCTTCCTAGTAATCGGTGATTATATTTCCTTGTAAAATTGTACATCTCACAGCTGACCCAGTGCCCACATGGAGGGAAGGCTTACCTAAAATACAGTTTGTCTGATGCCCTCCTCTCAAAAAAAAGAGATTAGTCAAACCAATATGTAGTACTCTAAACATTCAAAACAGGACAATTAGGTGTGACTAACATACAACAGGGGATAGTGGTTGTTGAGCGATAGGGTTCTCGCCTTCTATGCTGGAGACTTGCGTTCGATTCTGGCCAGTACACCTCAAGGCCAAGCCACTACCTGCCTGTCAGTGGAGGCCTGTGTGTTGCTATGATGCTAAACAGATTTCAGTGGAGCTTTCAAACTAAGACTAGGAAGAAAGGCCTGATGATCTACTTCTGAAAAATCAGCCAGTGAAAACCCTACAGGTCACAACTGTCCGATCTCATTGTCCATGGAGTCAAGTGAGTTGGGGGCTGATTCAGTGGCAGCTAATGATAACAATAAGCATATTGCAAGAATTCCTTAACTAGTGAGTTCTTATAGCTTAACTATGTTTGAGTTCATTTTATTTAAGTTCTCTACCTGCAACTTTCCAAAACACACCTATTTACCAATGCAAGACCCACCTGTATTTACAAAGTAAGTATGATACAAAATTTGAAGCACAAAGTAAAGGCCTTTACTGAAATTTACATGGTCTCTGTTAAACGTACCAACCATCTTCATGCTAAGTACACTATATCCCCTATTACAATCCATCAGTAAGGAGTTAATTCTAAAATATAGCACAAATCTGCTTTTCATAGTGCCCACCATACCCCAAATAAAATGTGCAGATGCAGTAGTATATTCTTAATAAGGCACAACTTCTTCCAAAGCTCTAGCCTGAAAGGAAATTGGGAAATGATCCGAATAAAAATAGAATTCATTTGTCTGTGTATGCAAATTCGATCAACACTTAACCCAAGTCATTCTGGGTTTTCCACTTTGGATGCCAATGGATTTTCCTTGGCTGCCAAAAGCCAACTTCTTGGCCTGACTTCAAAGCTAATGTGAGTCTCTAGAAGTCCCTTTTTTTTTTTTTTTTTTTTGCCTGCTGAATTAGTTGTGTTTTGGAGAATGGACTAGCGGCCTAGGATTTGTGAGTTGACATTTCTAGACATTCGGAAAGGCCCTGGAAGGGAACCGTTGGCATTCAAATAATATTGATTTGCAAAGCTATTACCATGAACTCTCACCATTCTATTGTATAATTTTCCCTCCAGGCCCTTGCACGCAATAAAGGAGCCATCTTCAAAGACGGAATAGTTCAGAAGCCAGGGTCAGGTGGACACTGTTCATTACCTACCTAAAGGCTATTTCCAACCTCTCCACCATTCTTCCCTGGATCTCATGCAAAGTTGGCAACTACCAAACCCCCAAAATATTTTATTGCGATTGGTCCAAACCAGTTATCCCATTCACTTCACCAGCAGTTAGTCTAGGGATAAAGATGTGACCTCGTTCTGGCCAATGAAATGTACCCTGACCTAGGGGATCAAAATACAGAGGGTCATTTGGAGCAAGTCTTTTCCTACAACCTTCCTTCCTTCTTAGGACATTGGGTTGAGGAAGTGATGCCTGGAACTGCAGCAGCTATTTCATGACCATGAGATGGCAAATTAAAAAATGAGAATTCAGTATAATGCCAGAGATGACTGAGTCAGAGGAAGAGCCAGGGTTCCGGGAGACATCGTGGAGTCGCTCAACCAACTCCAGAACTTCCTAATTTCAAACTTCGTGTTCCATGTTTTCTTTGGTTAAGCCACTCTTAGATATTCAGTTACTGGCAAACAACTCCATCCTCACTGAGATAGTTACTTACCTGTGATGTGACTTTGGCCAGGTCATTCATCCATTCAGGTTCTTCATCTGTAGAAAGGGGATAATGTTCTCTACCCTGAGCTGTCTTTATAACTATTTATTGAGTTAATATTTAAAAAATACTTGGTTTGATGCTGGCACAGTAAGATGTAGATAATCATCTCTAAATACTGGATGTGGCGGTCTACTTCCATAAAGATTTACGGCCTGGGAAACTCTATGGGGGCAGTTCTACTCTGTCCTGCAGGTTTGCTATAGGGTCACTATGAGTCAGCATACCAATGGGTATGGGTAAATATTAGACCTGTACGTGGTGGGTAATTTCAGAAAATTCATGCCCGTGGAGTAAATAGCTCTAATAATAACACAAATAACAGTCACAAGCATTAACTGTGTACATATTATATGCCAGCCACTGTTCTAAGAACGTTACATGTATTGCTTCATTTATTCCTCTAAACAATTTTCTAAAGTGTGTACTACTCCCATTAAGAAAGGAGAAAACAAAGGCACATGGACGCTGAGTGGCGACATTGTATCGTTGTTGTTGTTAGGTGCCGTCCAGTCAGTCTCGACTCATAGCGACCCTATGTACAACAGATCAAAATACAGCCCGGTCCCCCGCCATCCTCATGATCACTGTTATACTTGAGTCCATTGTTGCAGCCACTGTGTCAGTCTATCTCGTTGAGGGTCTTCCTCTTTTTCACTGACCCTCTACTTTACCAAGCATGATGTCCTTCTCCAGGGACTAGTCCTTGTATTAGAGCCCCAGAAATGGGTAGAGTCAGGACTTAGGCCCAGGCAGGCTAGCTCCAAGCCTGTGCTCATAACCACTCTGCAGACTGCCTACATTTCTCACTTACCCCAGGGGCTTTTCTGGGTGAAGCTTATTTTGCAGAAATGCAATTGGATTAAATCAGGCCTGGATTTGGAAATCCATATCCGTGTTCAACCCCCAACCTCCATCTCTTGTTTGGCTCCAGTCTCAGCCTGGTTTCCTAGAGATAGGCCACGGTCAAAAACTAGCAGCCCAGCAGCAGAAGTCCACTCACAGATATGTGTTGTTTGGCCAGTCCAGGGTTTTTATTCTTGTAAGCTCTTTAGATGGGGCAACTTGACTTTTGGTCCCCAAAGTCCCCACCGTTCCTTCTTACATTTGGTCAGTCCATGCTGATAATACCTGCCTTGCCCCCTGGGGACCTTTGAGTTTGTGACTCCCCAACCTAGATCTTTATTTACAAAGAGAAAATACTGGAAGCCATGTCAATATCTTAAAGAATGGTAAGGGGGAAGAGAGATTGCTGGATATAATTGCTGTATTTCGGGGTGTTCCTGCATGCTGATTTCTTGATGGCCACCTCTCTGCTTTAGTTGACAATACAGAGATTAAAAGTTCTTCCCAATTCGGGACATTTGGGGCATTTGGAAGCCAGTGGTTTATTCTTTATTAAGGAAAGGAAGATCATTTTTCCACAAACATACTGTTTTTGGAAATAGCTAAGGCCCTAACTAAGGCTCTTTTCTTCCTCGTGAGAAGAACAAGGCTCCGAGGAAGCTTGGGGTCTGGCCCCGGCAAAGACAAATGTAAGGATGCCTTTGGCTGTATAGTGCTTTCCTCTGAAGCAGAGCTGGCAAACTCCTTCTGTAAAGGGCCAGGTAGTAAATATTTTAGGCTTTGCAGGCCACATAAAGTCTCTGTTGCATATTCTTCATCTTCTTGGGTTTTGTTTGTTTGTTTTAAACACCCATTAAAAATGTAAAAACCATTCTTGGATCGGGGGCTGGATTTGGCCAGGTGCAGTAGTTTGCTGAGCTCTGCCTGAGGAAATAGCAACGACAAAAAAATGTAAATTCCTCTCCAGGTCAGTTAATTCTGTCCTGTTGCTGAGAGCAAGGCAAATGCAGCAACTGTCCCAGGTGTGACTGGGCACAGGACAAATGGAGTGAGGCTGTGCAAAGACAGCTGACTTGGGACCAGACTCAGGGTGAATGCGAACTTGCATCCAACCCCCATGCTGGCCACCCTTTCTCCCCTATAGCCACTTTAACAGGCAGTGAGCTCACTAGGAAGGAGCGCTGCTGGTGCAGTGGTTAAGCGCTCAACTGCTAACAGAAAGGTTGGCAGTTTGAACCCACCAGCCACTCCGTGGGAGAAAGCTATGGCAGTCTGCTTGCATAAAAATTATATCCTTGGAAACCCTGTCGGGTAGTTCTACTCTGTCCTATAGGGTCTCTATGAGTTGGAATTGACTTGACGGCAACAGGTTTTTGGAAGCTCAGTAGGTAACTTCCTGGGGGCAGTAAACAATTTAGCCATTGTTTTCTTCGCCAGGCTCATTTTTCTTCAGAAAGTGTAAACTTCAGTTAAGTAATATGGCAAATGATGGGTCGAGGGTGGGAGTGGGGATCAATTAACTAATGAGGAAGTCAAGTTAGCTTCTCCACAGATTCAGGGGAAGGAGGCTATGAATGGAAGGTATCCTGGTCACTCTCTGAGGTTCGACTGTTAGTGAAATGGCTGTTCCCGGCTTCTGCACAGGCCAGGTGTACTTCACCTTTGTGGCAGCCCGAAGAGGTGGGCCTACTAGAATGTAAGAAGTATTGGGCATGCTGTGGAGGGAAGTCTCCCCAAGATGCTGGGACCTCCTATCAAAGCTTTGTGCCTTCATGGGGAAGGAATTTTGCCACTTCCAAGCCAGTCTATTTGGCAGTTGTTCAAGATTTGGCTGTTTGAGAGCGTGTTAGCTGATGTGAGCATTACTTCCTCATAGATGTGCCTGTGTAGAAATGGCCATAGATTTCTAACCCATAGTGACGACATGGACAAGGGGGCAACCAGCACCCTACTCTATGAAACACGATACGGAAGAGTGCTGTTTTTTTCACTGTCTTATTACCTGGCAAAATAAATCCAGGTGGTGTGTGAATCACCAGTAGAGATTATAAACTCCAAGGAAGTAGAATCAGCCTCCCAAACAGTGGATCTCAACGAGGACGGAGATGCTACACCAGAACCCGCAGAAGTAAGACCCAAAGGAGAAGAGGGCAAACCACCAAGAACCTCCCTGATGACGTTTTTCAGGCAAATGGTAAGCCCACCTACCTCCAGTTCTACGAAACTGAACTACACAGATCAGGGCTTCCCCGAACAAACGCACAGGACACAGGTGGCGGGAGACGTAATTGTGGGTGGTGTCTATGGAATGTGAATGGAATACGAATTGTGCAAGGGGAAAATTCCTTTCCGTCCTTCTGATTCAGTCACAGAGACGGTCTCACTTTACTCTGAATAGCCTTTAACCCTTCTTTAACCCCTGCTCATCTCCCTTTTTAACAAAGAGCTGATGTTGGGTCAAGATTTTTGGCAGACCACAGCATCCCCTAGAAGTTAATACTATCGTTAACTGTCTTATTTATTTTTAAAGTTTTCTTTGGTTTATAGCAAATGATACTGCTTTTTTTTATTATGTTAAGGGTATGAAATTTCCTTTGAAAATGCAATTATTTCTATAAAGAACACAGGGAATTTTTTTCAAGGATTAAATAATCAAAATAGCGCAAGTTATATGCTAACGCGGCAACAATTTTGAAAGTGATCTGTGAGCGGCGCAGATGTGGGCAAAAGCAACTTGTAGGTAATTCAAATAAGAGAAAAGACAAAATAATTTTCTAATAGTGAATAGGTATAGCTTAGCTGGTGAAATTGCCTTGGTTTTCATTTGTATAGAGTAGAAAGAAGGAGTCCTGGTGGTGCAGAGTGTTAAGCGCTCGGCCGTGAACTGAAAAATTGGCGATTTGAACCCACCAGCCGCTCCGCAGGAGAAAGATGTGGCAGTCTGCTTCCGTAAAGATTACAGCCTAGGAAACCCTATTGGGCAGTTCTACTCTGTTCTGTAGGGTCACTGTGAGTCGGAATCGACTCGACGGCAACGGGTTTGGTTTGGTTTTTTTATGAAGAGTCATCTACATTCATATCTAAAGAGTCAGGGACATAAATAATATAATACAGCAAACTCAGAACAGTTGAAGGGAGAAAAGAAAGCAACATGTAAAATGTCATTGTTTTCATTCTCTTTTAACGAACAATAAGAATTTCATTATAGCCTGCTTTTCTTTTGGAGAGTATTTGGGGATTTAATCCTTTGAGAAAGCAACTCTCTAATTTCATAGTCTCAGGCTGTTAACAGATTCTTTCTAGTCCACAAAACCAAACCAAACCAACAAAATCCTTGCCAGTGGGAGCTGAGACCTGTTAGAAATAACTGTTGGAAATTGCTGACCGGAATCATCCTCCTTTCTTGTTAGATTCTCATGGAATAAGAAGTATAAAGTAAATAGTTTACAGTTCACGCAGCTGGATCTCCACCTGAATTGCTGGTCATTTGCTCTTGCAATTTGGAGCTGAGAATAGGTATCAAAATCGGCGGTTTTTAAACCAATTTTTATACAATGTCAGAAAAGAAAATGTTTGGCCTGTTTCTGGCAACTCATCTGAATTACAAATGGGATCCCCAAATAGCTTGCCATGATATTGAGGGTGATCCAACTTTCCTGTTTCTGGATGGAGTTGAGAAATACAGGAAAAAAAAAAAAGAAAACAGAATGATATTGTTTTCCAAATAACCAGCATGAAGATTTCTTCATTTGAAAGAGAGGGAAATAAAATATATGGAGACTCCAAATACGGCAGGAAAAAACCTCTAAATCACCCACTGCACCCACCCAAGACAAATTCAAATTAATTAAATTCGAATGAGGTCCCATATTCCTTAAATTCATCCCCTCATGCTTTCTGTTACACATCCTTGGGGGAAATTTCCTAGCAGTAGAAATCGGGAAAGAGGGAATTGTTAGGGGAACAAAGTGGAAATAAAAGAGTCCTTTGGAAATGATACTCCATAGGACAAGGATAGAGGTAGGAGAAGACACAGTTTTCCCAAGAAATCCTCAAAGGATTCATATCACCAGATCTTAGAATTTCCATTTTTATTATTACCTATTGCTCATGACAAAGGCTAGGCCTGGGAGCCTAACATTATTCTTTCCTTTTAATGTGTAAACACTGTTCCAAAACTTCCATGATTATTAGGATTTCCCCTGAAGATTCCAGATATCTTAATTATCCTTGTCTTTTACTCTGTTTAGTATTCACCAGAACACTACAATGCCATCGCAATTAATTCAAATACACAGAAGACATGGGCTTTCCAGCTAACATACTCCCCACCACTCCCTATGGTCATACCCAGCCCAGCTCACGCATTTATCTTACTGGCCTGGTCCCCGTGGATATTTGAGTTTGGAATCCCTGATACAGAACGACCTCATTGTTTATAACAACTTCTTTGGATCACATCATCTGGATGTATCATACTCTGCTTAACCATTGCTCTATCCATGGACATTTGGGTTGCTTCCAACTTTTTGCAGTCCATTCATCCACTTTTCCAACAATTAATTACTGAGTAGCCACTAAATTCCTAGCATAAGGAGCTCTGGTGGCGCAGTGGGTAAGCACTCAGCTGCTTACCAAAGCATCAGCAGTTTGAACCCACCAGGTGCTCTGTGGGAGAAAGACGTGGCAGTCTGATCCCGTAAAGATTACAGCCTAGGAAACCCTGTGGGACTGTTCTCCTCTGTCCTAGAGGGTTGCTGAGCCGGAATCCACTGTAAGGCAATGGGTTTGTTTTTTTGTTGTTGTTTAAATTCCAGGCACTAGAGATAGAGCAACGAGCATAAACAGAATGAAGCCTAACGAGGAAAAGAGACATTTGTTTTTTAACTCTGTCCTTATCTTCAGGGGCACATGCTATGCGCCTTATAAGCATTAGCTCAATTGCTGTACTAACCTGCTCTGAATATCCCATAGGGCGCCCTGGTGGCACAGTGGTTAAGAGCTTGACTGCTAACCAAAAGGTCGGCAGTTCTGATCTACCAGCCGCTCCTTGGGAACCCTATGGAGCAGTTCTACTCTGTCCTATAGGGTCGCTATGAGTCGGAATTGACTCGACGGCGGTGGGTTTGACTTTGTTTTGGGGGGCGTTGAATATGCTGTATACCTCCTTTTATGCGTGTCTGTTAATATCCCCACAGGGTAGGTTCTTGGAAGTCAGCTCCAGCCATTCTTTTCAGGAATCTCTTTTTGGTAACATTTTCATGGCTTTGGAGCTGATTTAAACTCTTTGGGTTTATGCAGGGAAAACAAACCAACAACAACAAAAAACTGCTCGGCTGCTATCAAGGGCTTGAAAATCTAGGCCGCATCCGGATCATAACCATCGGGTTATTTTGAGCCAAATAAGTGAATGCTTTAAACTGATTTTAGCTGTTATTAGCAAAATAGGTTTAAAAAAAGATTTTGTGGAAAACTCAGTTTCAGATGTGTCACTTCTATTTTGTATCTACTTTCTCCGTTCATCAAATCATTGATTTCTCTAAATTCTACCCTTTGCCAAAGGCGCCCTGGTAGCGCAGTGGTTAAGCACTTAGCTGCTAACCGAAAGGTCAGTGGTTCGAACCTACCAGCCACTCCGCAGGAGAAAGATGTGGTGGTCTGCTTCTGTAAAGATTACAGCTTAGGAAATCCTATGGGGGAACTCTACCCTGTCTTATAGGGTCGCTGTGAGTCAGAATCGACTCGACAGCAACGGGTTTGGTTTGGTTTTGGTATCCTTTGCCCTCCCTCACGTTCCTTTCAGATAACTCATTTTGTCATCCGATGGCAAAATAACTCTGGTGAAACCTGTGAGAGCCGGAACACAACAGGACTGCCTTGTTTTTCCAGGTCTCACGAGGTTTCCACCTTTGACAGGGTGCCGTCTTACCACTTCCTATCGCTCATTTTAGTTTAAAATATTTCCGTTTTCCTTCTCTGACAGTTTCTGCCTTACGCTGGTTCTGGCCTTCACGGGTTTTACTGTACTTGGTTGAGTATTTTTCACTCACCAAAAAAACCAAACCCATTGCTGTCAGGTCGACTCATAGGGACCCTGTAGGACAGAGTAGAACTGCCCCATAGGGTTTCCAAGAAGTGCCTGGTGGATTCAAACTGCCGACCTTTTGGTTAGCAGCCGTGGCTCTGTTCATTCCTAAAGAGATCTTGTTCTGTCCAGAAATTAACCTCTCCCAAAAACAAAAAGAATATCATTTTGCAAAATAGCTGTGATTTCAGGGGGAGAAAAAAAAAAAACCCAGAGTCTTATAAGTCCTAGTGCTGTATTTGACACATATAGATATACAACTTCACAAAAAAACCTATGAGCTCCTACAGGATTTCAAAATAATTGCAAGGAATATCTAAGACATCTGCCATGCCCTGAATAGCAAAAGATCTTCATATGTATTAATTCAACTGTAAGTCAGAAAATTGGATGTTTGAAGTACTAGTATATTTTTAAAAAGTGAGTGGGTAGATTAGTGTATTCAAGTACTCACAAACCTGGTAGGCAGATGAAGCCATAAAGGTGGTAGATAGAAATACATGGATGTAGATTTAGAATCCGTCAATATTAATAACACCTTGCACTTGAAAACTGCTTTCCTCCTCCAAGCTATTTTCACGTACATTGTTTCATTCAATCCTCCTCACATGTCTTAGCTCTTCTTTGGACGATTAGTTTTATAAGAACCCTTTGTTGGAAGAACTTTCTCAGGCTTAGAGACAGACTGAGAGCCTTAATGTTGAGCAAACCAAATGAGAAGACAGCCAGAAAGTACAGTGTTTTCTTTATCACACTCAATCCAATCAGTCTGGTAAAACTTTTGAGATTTACTGCCTGGAGGGAAGAAGAGGGTGGTTTGTAACGGTACTTATAAAACAAAAAAACAGAAGTCTTCTAGCCAACGGTCTTGATCTCAAATTCTTCCCTGACTCTTAAAATATTAACATTGATTTACTCTGTAAGGACAAGCTTCCTAAAGAAGCATTTATTTGGGCAATTCCTGTCTCCACCAATAACTTGCATTCCTTCCTACCTTTACACAGGATTCTCTAGTCATTGGACACTCCTTGGTTATTAACAGTAATAACAATAATAAATCAAACCAAACCAGTTGCCTTTGAGTTAGTTGCAACACATGATGACCTCATGTATGTCAGAGTGGAACTGTGCTCCACAGGGTTTTCAGTGGGTGAAGTTTTTGAAAGTAGATCGCCAGGCCTTTCTTCCGAGGCGTCTCTGGGTGGACTCGAACCTTCAGCCTTTTGATTAGCAGCTGAGTGTGTGAACCATGGGCACCACCAGGGACTCCAATAACAGTAATAGCTGCCACTTATTTATTTCAGGCTTATGACACGGCAAACTCTGTGCTAAGCACATTGCATGCATCTTCATATTTATTAATGTAAAAACCCTATGAGATACATACTCTCATGACCCCACTGTGCAGGCCAGGGAGAGGAAGCTTAGAGTGTTTAGACAATTTGCCCAAGGTCCCAAAACTGGTAAGTGGCCGAGCCAGAATTCAAACTCAGAATCAGACTTGTTGATCCTAAAGCCCACCCTTTTACTTCTCTGCTTTCGCTGTTCCCTGTGCTTCTGGCCAGCAGTTCTCTCCGAGAATAGAAGTCACAGAGGGGAACCAGCCATAAGCTCTGTGTTTGAGATCCCCTCAGTCACATTTTCAGTGGGAACGTCATTTTTATGTATTGGGCTATTATACTTCTCTGAAATTACAGGAAGGCAAAAAGAGAGGAAAATTAATGCCTGGCTTACATGAAGCATAGACATAGGTTTAATGAATAGACTTGTCACTAAAATGAGATTTACCTTGGCTGTATAATTTTGTCTTAATAGTCCAATTCCATTTCAGGTAAACCTTGGTAAAATGCAAAGCTTGGACTCCTAGCCTTTGGTTATCTTGGAAATTCCAGTAGATCCAGTTTCTTAGATTTGTTGTAATGAGGTTGCTCTAGTAAGTAAGTTTGCGGACACACTCACACTATATTAAAATTTCATTCCAGTTCTTCTTTTAAATCTCAGCTGGGCTGAAATGAGAAGATGACATCAAATAAGCGCATTTGCTTTACTTTCAAAAAAGTATGAACTGCCCAGCAAACATTTCTACTAGAATTTTCAATATCTAAGTGATATGTATTGGAGAAGGAACCCTGGTGGCACAATGGTTAAGCACGCAGCTGCTAACTGAACTGTCCAGGGCTCAAACCCACCATCAGCTCTGCCAGAGAAAAGACCAGGAGATCTGCTCCAGTAAAGACTACAGCCTAGAAAATCCTATGCGGCAGTTCCACTCTGTCTCATGGGGTCACTATGAGTCAGAATCGACTCGATGTCCCAAAACAATAACACATATTGGAGATGGTCCAGCCTTCTCAGAGCATCAAGCCTTAGGAATGCAGGATACAATGAAAGAAATAAAAAGGGACTACATTAATATGCCAGGCTTGGATGCCACAATGCCATCCCCTCTCAAAAGTCTACACGAAACCCTGAGACAGTTCACCTTTGACTCTGATGAATAAAATAAATTCCCTAAAGAAATTTGCTCAGTATCACACTGCAAGATCTCTGAAAATACGGAGTAGTATAATCTTCAAAACTGTCCTTTAAAGTATTAAATAGTCTCTAAAAGAACTTCAGCCTCTTTAAACAGTAACTCTGCTATTTTTTGACAACTGGAAAATAAGCTTTTGTGGTTATGGTCCTTTGACCAACACGAATTATCTTTGCTTGTCTCTGAAAGAGGACTTTGCAAGGAGGAAAGAGAAGGAGGCAGAGGAGAAAGGAAGGAAGGAACAAAGGAAGGAAGAGAGGGAAGGAGGAAGGAACAGAAGAACAGTGGAAGAATCTGGAATCTTTCTCTTAGCCCCATATTGCTTGACCCCCGCTCCCTACTCTTCCCATAGCAGGGCAGAGGAGACATTAAACAATGAGCAAGCATGTATGCGTGTCTGCAGGGATTAGACCTGAGTCCATATTATTGATAAGAACTGAGAAATTTGTTTCCAGATTTCTTGGGTATTTTGCCAAGCATCAAACATAAAACCAAACCAAACCCATTGCCATCAAGTAGATACCGATTCATAGCAATCCTATAGGACAGAGTATAACTGCCCCCACGGATTTCCAATGAGCAGCTGGTGGATTCGAACTTCCAACCTTTTAGTTAGCAGCTGAGCTCTTAACCACGGCGCCACCAGGGCTCCCATCAAGCATAGGGCTTTACTAAGCACACAGTTAAAACTACAGATTCCAGCATGGATCTGAATTTGTCTATGGCCCGTGAGCTTGGAGCTGTGATGCTCAAACTTCAGCGTGCATCAGAATCACCTAGAGGGCTTGTTAAAACACAGATTGCTGGGCCCACCCCCAGAGTTTCTGATTCTGTAGATCTGGAGCGGGTCTTGGGAATTTGCATTTCTGACAATTCCTGGTGATGCTGATGCTGCTGACCTGGGACCGAAGCTTTGAGAACCATTAACCTGGAGCATTACGGTGCCAGTGGTCGGTTTACGGAGCCAAAACTGTGTATTCAACCTCCTTCAGCCCTGTCATGCATGCCACTGGCCATAGGGGGCTCTAAAGGATGGAACATCGATTGCTCAACATAACCCATCTCCCTACCAGGGGGAAAAAATGCCTCAGTAAAAACACTCACAACCTAAATATTACCAGTGGAAGGCCACTAAGGGTTCATTTGTTCATGGGCTCATTTGCTCATTCATTTATCCATTCATTCAATATGCTCAACCACCTCCTGATTCCAACATTAGTATTCTCATCATACTAATTAAGTTTAGTCCTGATAAGTTTAGGACTTTTTCATTGTTGTTTTTGGAGATCAACACTTAAATGTAACCAGACTCTGGTTACAGATCGCGTGGAAATTTGTATATCTCGTAAGTAATACGTGTCCTGCTCCGTCTTCCATTTGATCCCAAATCTCAAAAATAAATGCCTGAGGTCATCCATTTCAGAACTTCGTTGCGGGTTCTCCGTGTTGCCGTGGTGGCTGAAAGGCCATTGTTTGTCTGTTATTTTAGTCAGTGAAAAGGGAAGGAGAGCGCGCCCACTCAGAAGAAGTAAATGGGAAAGATTCGGACTACCAAGTAAGTGATCTGTGAACT